ATTCTTTTCTGAGAAGCTTCCGTCTACTCTTTCTGTTGATCCAACCACTTGGGCTGGAGGGTAGAACGACGGTTTCGCTTCATGCAGGTCGGCGTTCAATCCCCGACCGTCAAAGTGGTAGGGCACCATTCCTTTCTCCCCCGTTCCAAATCAAATCCCTATCCTGACCCCTTCCAAGTGCTATATTGTCGTAATAAATTGGCGCTTTCTCCTGATAGTTCCCTTCTCCTAATACTTTATTATTCTATTCGTGTTTTTTCTTCCTCTTTCCTCTTCACTTCCTGGCCTGTTTATTATGATTATTATTGTTCTTATTTGTTTGTGTAAGTTGGAGTCAAATTGTTTTTTAATTACCTGTTTTTCGTTATTTTAAATTTTAGCGGAAGTTGTAGCAGGATCAGTAGGTCGTCCTGCCAGCAGCAGGTCGTCCTGCCAGCAGTAGGTCGTCCTGCCAGCAGTAGGTCGTCCTGCCAGCAGTAGGTCGTCCTGCCAGCAGCAGGTCATCCTGCCAGCAGTAGGTCGTCCTGCCAGCAGTAGGTCGTCCTGCCAGCAGCAGGTCGTCCTGCCAGCAGCAGGTCGTCCTGCCAGCAGCAGGTCGTCCTGCCAGCAGTAGGTCGTCCTGCCAGCAGTAGGTCGTCCTGCCAGCAGTAGGTCGTCCTGCCAGCAGTAGGTCGTCCTGCCAGCAGTAGGTCGTCCTGCCAGCAGGCCAAACAAAACAAAAACTGCTGCCTACGAACCCATTATGTGTGCCTGTGTAACCATTTCCTAACCCGTCCACGTGATAGGTATGGGGTGCATAATAAACCAAATTAATGACTGCACACAGTGAGGATAATTTTCCACTGATTATTTTGCCACAACGTCTGGATGGTTCATTAATATAATGCCCTCCTCCTCCTCCTCCTCCCCTCCTCCTGGAGAGGAAGGAAATCTCTGGCAGGGAAAATGTCGTGTCGTTCTCACTGCAGGAGCTGACGGTGATACACACACAGTGTATGATGAATGTCGCGGACGAGCAGCAATTTCCAATTTCCTTCTGTCACCTTCATGTTCTACAATACATCAACAACATCTTAACGATTAGAATAGCTAACACTTGCTTCATCTCACGGTGGAATGAGAGGCATAAATGTATTATATTATGTCGGTTTTCCTTACGGGCTCACCATAGCCCGTGCTACATGGACACTTCGTTCTGAGTACCTCAATCTGAAACAACGTCGGTTTTCCCCATCTCTAAGACATGGCAGATACACACTAATGGAGGATGGGATAACACTATTTTCAATATTATTCTCGTTTGAGCGCTCTGTCTGAAGGGGGAGGATGCGTTAGCACTCTCTTCAGCCGCGGTATTTCCTTCCACCTGTTCCACTAGGAGGAGGAGGAGGGGGTAGGGTGGGGAGTGATATCCGGCGGTGTCCAAATATCAACTGGCACCGGACGGATAGTCTGTCACTCTACCTCCCCCCTATTCCCTCCTCTTCTACCCACCTCTTCCCTCCCATTTCCTCTTTCTCAATCTTCCCCCTCACGCCTATCTCTCTATCCTCCCCCTCACCCCTATCTCTCTATCCTCTCCCCTCACTTCTATCTTTCTATCCTCCCCCCTCACCTCTATCTTTCTATCCTCCCATTTCTTCTTTCCTCATTTTTCTCCATCTCTCTTCCTTCCATTTCAACCCCTTTCCCCTCCTCTAACCCCCTCTTCTTCCTTGTTCTGCTTCTTCACTCATCATCCCCCTCTCCCCATCACCTTAACCCTGTCGTCTCATCTTACATCTTTGCTTCATAATATCTTCATTGTACATACTCTCTTCATCACCATAACCATCTTCACTACTCTCTATTTTCATCATCACAGCCATCTTCACTACTCAATGTTTTCATCACTGTAACCCTGGATGAATTCAGGTCAGTGGTTTCGAGTAATTTTTATTTTTATTTTTTATTAACACATTTAGGTACATCTGCATTTGTGCAGCTACCCAAACTATATGAACAGTAGTACAGTGTGTCAAAAAGCTACAGCTACGTGGTGCTAAAAAATCCCCATCACACAGGATGGTTAGTCATACAGTGGCATGTGATAAGCAGTCTGCACTGGCAGACTCTGGGTGCAGTATGAGGATATCATCAACACAAGAGTGAATAAGGTAGCAATGATAATAAAAGTCTCCATCTCGCAAGATGATTAGTCATACAGGGCCATATGTTCAGTAGCCTGCACTGGCAAATTTTGGGTGCATTATGAGGATATCTTCAAGAACACGAGAGTCTGAATAAAATAGTTACAAAGCTCCAGGTACCTCATGCCAACGGGTCTAAATGGTCTGAAAACTGGGCATTCGGTGATGTAGTGCGCAAGCTCTGCATCACCGATTGCCCCCTTCCCCCAGTTATCAAACAATTCAGCTAAAATATGTGGTAAACTGTATGGAAACTACAACCACGATTTCGTTTCAGACTATGCAAATTGCACCTGTGAGGTAGGTTAGAGGGTTAACATCAGCGTACAGGCTGATATTCCTTAAAGCATTTAACTTAGGGCGACCACGACCAGCCTATGTGTTCCGAACCTCACACCATTCCCCCTGCAAAGTTGGGTGAGGCTAGACCAAGCGTCTGGCCTCCGACTTCGGAGAGACGAAGAGAGAGAAGCAAATAGACAGATTCACCCTCTAACAATATAATTTTTTGTATCACAGCTCTGTGTAAACAGACTATGGTGATTAAACTCCATGATTGGAGTAACCACAGATACTACATAACTTGCCCACTCGTATATTCTAGAATATGTTCATGATCAATCAAGCTTGTTGCAAAACAGTTATGCTTTCTCACCAGAGTAAACGACCTCTTCAGTGTAAGTGAATTCATTATATTTAATCAGAGGCATACAATTAATTATTTACATATTTGTTTTAAGCATAATTTTACACTAATATGATTTGACTTTGAAAGTAAGTTACATAAAACACAGAATTACAATTGAGAGTTAAATATCGACACAAAACATTTAACTTAAAGATTCATGCATAGATAACATGTTTACATCTTAGTATAAACAACTTTTAATATGAAGCACATTTATACAAAATATTATTTAAGAGACTATGCAACACACCCTCAGTTTCCCATCATTAACAGTTTATCGACTCGTAATTACTATGGAGCTAATGGTAAGGTTAACGGTGACTAACGTGATGAACATGATTTGGAGCAGCTTTGAGCAGCTTTGAGCAGCTTTGAGCAGCTTTGAGTAGCTTTGAGCAGCTTTGAGTAGCTTTGAGCAGCTTTGAGCAGCTTTGAGCAGCTTTGAGCAGCTTTGAGCAGGTTTGAGCAGCTTTGAGCAGCTTTGAGCAGCTTTGAGCAGCTTTGAGCAGCTTTGAACAGCTTCTCAGACACCTAAATCACGATACAAAGAAAACGTGTGTACTCACCTAGTTCCTCACTTCACCTAGTGTCCTTGTATTCATGGCTAGAAACTGTTCACTCACAGTATTCATTTCCTGTGACCGGAAATTAATTTGCACAAGGAATCATTCCCTGATGGCACAAGTGACGGCCGGAAGTGTGTCGGAGCGACCCACGCCAGAAGTGCTTGATTCAAGTCCCCCCCCCCCCCCGTCCACCCTTCTCGTTAGGTTTTCTCTGAAATGTGAGCAGCTGAGTGCACTGTTTTGATATATTATCATCATTTTCGCAGGCAGTATTGATAAGCTAACTTCAGGCAATGTAATGACCTCCGCAAGCTGCTTTAAACTCTTCTACTAAGGCAGCAAATAAGTGATGAAGTGCCTGACAAACACTGATGAGTGAAAGGTTTTAAGCAGAATAATAATAATAGGATGTCCATATATTGACAAAATTTAATTCGATTCAGTGGATACAAATTAGATGAGTTCAGATTCAGAAAGGCATTTATAAATAATAGTTTGGGAATAAGTCGTAGATTTATATAAAAAAGTAGTTTTGAGTAATATTACATTCAAGAGATGATTGAACTGTTTTAGAAATAGGTTAAATATATATATATATATATATATATATATATATATATATATATATATATATATATATATATATATATATATATATATATATATATATATATATATATATACACGAATGAATTTGGTTGGGTATGAAAAGGAACTACTTTAAATAGGTCAATTAACGTTCGAAAGTATTCACTAATTTTCTTCGTTCTTGAGGTGCCAGCATCGCTAATCCTCCTCCTCCTCCCTCTACCCCTCCTCCGGCGCCAGAAGAGTGAGGACGCTGAGACCTGAGTCAGGACGTAGCTACACCAAGAGTGCCTCCGAGAAAGTTACTCTTACCTGCTGAACGTTACGTTCAAGGGAGTCAGGTGGCCCGCTTTCACTCTCTAAGCAATTAAGAAAGAGGGAAAGTGTATAGTGTTGTTCTAGCTTTCTGTTTCGATTCCTTGCACGGACTCGTGTCTGAGAGCGTGTCATTGGCTACGCTTGCTCTCTTGTACACACAAATATGCAACACGATACACTGTGTTCAGTCGTGGTTTCTCCTGTATGTCATGGGCGATCTTATCCACTTTTTAAGTTTAAATTAAAAATATTGATCATAGATGAAAAGCTCATTGAATACAGATTAATGATAATGGTGAGTAGAACATTGATATATATGGAACATGATCCTTCATTTTATAATGAATATTCTGGTATAATATCTGCCCCACTATTATTCTAGTAATAGTGGGACACTTATAAAGTGGTTTTGTAATTATCTAAGGAACGCAACCAACTTCTTTACACTTTACACAGCCTTACCTAAAAAAATAATTCAGTTGCCAAAAGACAATGATCTATTCTGTGCATTGATATCAACATGAATTGATTGCTAGCTTTTTATTCTCATAAACTTTTACTTAGGTCAAAGGGTTTTCAACTGAGTCTACTATAATGGTTAAATATTGCCATTTGGTATTGATGAGAGTGAGAGAGTGTTAAGAGCAGTTTCTATGCCATAGTTTGTGTCGATCTCTAACAGCTTTCTTCGTCTTTGCTTACAGGTCACGATCATTGGAAACCAGTTAACATGCATCGACACGGGAGGAGCCAGGAGGGTGAAGACTTAAACCTCGGCAACTCTTCAACACAACAGTCCCAGATGCATTTGCTTTCCATCTTCATAGCATCGGTCTCTAAAAACTTGATTTCCAATGCTTTAAACTCAACAGCGGCACTCTTTCGTTCTTCGAAGTCAGAATCCTCAACCATTCATGCTTCGAACACCAAGCTCTCTTCTTCCAGCGCTCTGACATTCCCACCAGAAAATTCCAAAACTACTATCCATAAACTAGCCTTGAGCTCCAGGCCAGGCCCATCCTCGACACTCAGAGGTATACACACTTTCCTCCTTCTCTTCCTCCTCCTGGCCTCTTGTCCCAGCTGGGCATCCTCGTCCTCTACTCGTAGGATGAACTCTCGATTCCTCGACCTTGGTTTCAACGAACACTTCTCCAACTACACTCAGGTTTACCGAGCTATAGACGAAGGGATGAGAGACCCCCGGCGTCTCAACGCTGCCTTCAGGAGCGTGGACTTGGGTCGCTCTCTCAACGTCTTCGACGTGGCTCGGGCCATCGTCCCAGGTGAGTGTCAAGGGTCTGCTGGAGTTCATGTCACCTAACATGAGTGTCTGAGAGCCCGCTGAGTTCCCGGTGAATCGTTCAAGGGTTGGCGGCTTCACAGGGCTGGTGAAAGCTTGGCATGCTAACCGTTAAAGAGTCTATATATAATATTATAATATATATATATATATATATATATATATATATATATATATATATATATATATATATTTATATATATATATATATTATATATATATATATATATATATATATATATATTATATATATATATATATATATATATATCCTGGATATATATATATCCTGGGGACCATTCAGGCTTGTTCGCATATATATATTTATATATATATATATATATATATATATATATATATATATATATATATATATATATATATATATATATATATATATATATATATATATATATATATATATATATATATATATATATATATATATATATATAGACTCTTTAACGGTTAGCATGCCAAGCTTTTACTAGCCCTGTGAAGCCGCTATATATATATACATATGACAGTGTCAGACCACGTAGGAAAATTTAAACAGGAATTTCCTTAAGTACTTTCGTATATTAATACATCTTCAGAAGTTCTGAATCCTTCTGAAGATGTATTAATATACGAAAGTACTTAAGGAAATTTATGTTTCAATTTTCCTCCGTGGTCTGACACTGTCACATTTTTTATCATGTGTTTATTTTCGTGATTTACACACACACACACACACACACACACACACACACACACACACACACACACACACACACAACACACACACACACACACACACACACACACACACACATGTATATATATATAATATATATATATATATATATATATATATATATATATATATATATATATATATATATATATATATATATATATATATATATAAAGTCAAATAGTCAGCCATCTTGCAAGGTAAGTTATCCCATCTTCACCTCAGTAATGCACTTGACACGTTGCTTGCTCCTTATTGCATGTCTGATATTTTTTTTAACACTGATCCAATACGTGCAGCACGACATGTTTAACGCCTGGGTGAAGCTCACATCTATGACTCGTTAAGCCTAAGTGCTTGTTTCTCACCTCAGGTGTGTGCAACATTTTCTTAGAGGAATGATTTCCATGTGTGCATGTAGTGAATAGTTGATGAATATTTAGAATGGATATATATATATATTTCACGTGCATGTTGCATGATTACTTTCAAAAGTTAATCTGACAATGGTAACCCTTAGCGACTGAGTGACTCGTAACATCACGGTGCCTTCAAAAGCCTCAGCGCACTCATACAGGCTCACACATATATATATGCTAGGAGATGAATTAGCTAAACGAACTGCAGGCAGACGTGTGTGCAGGGAATATCAGTGCAAAGAGAATTTTTAAGGGGGAAAACCGCAGAGGACGGAAATGCTCTGAAAACTCCGCTGGGAGAGGAGAGAACAAATAAAGAAACACGCGCACACACAAACACACACACACTCACACACACAAACGCACACACACACACACACACACACACACACACACACACACACACACACACACACACACACACACACACACACACACATCCTGTTTCTGATATACGTATATCCTGTTTCTGATATACGTAAATGATCTCCCAGAGGGTATAGACTCATTCCTCTCAATGTTTGCTGACGACGCCAAAATTATGAGAAGGATTAAGACAGAGGAGGACAGCTTGAGGCTTCAAGACGACCTGGACAAGCTGCAGGAATGGTCGAACAAATGGTTGTTAGAGTTTAACCCAAGCAAATGTAAAGTAATGAAGATAGGGGTAGGAAGCAGGAGACCAGATACAAGGTATCATTTGGGAGATAAGATACTTAAAGAGTCAGAGAGAGAGAAAGACCTGGGGGTTGATATCACGCCAGACCTGTCCCCTGAAGCTCATATCAAGAGGATAACATCAGCAGCATATGCCAGGTTGGCTAACATAAGAACGGCCTTTAGAAACTTGTGTAAGGAATCTTTCAGAACATTATATACCACATATGTCAGACCAATCCTGGAGTATGCGGCTCCAGCATGGAGTCCATATCTAGTCAAGCATAAGACTAAACTGGAAAAGGTTCAAAGGTTTGCCACCAGACTAGTACCCGAGCTGAGAGGTATGAGCTACGAGGAGAGACTTCGGGAATTAAACCTCACTTCGTTGGAAGACAGAAGAGTTAGGGGGGACGTGATCACCACATTCAAGATTCTCAAGGGAATCGACAGGGTTCATAAAGACAGGCTATTTAACACAAGGGGCACACGCACAAGGGGACACAGGTGGAAACTGAGTGCCCAAATGAGCCACAGAGATATTAGAAAGAACTTTTTTAGTGTCAGAGTGGTTGACAAATGGAATGCATTAGGAAGTAATGTGGTGGAGGCTGACTCCATACACAGTTTCAAGTGTAGATATGATAGAGCCCAATAGGCTCAGGACCCTGTACACCTGTTGATTAACGGTTGAGAGGCGGGACCAAAGAGCCAGAGCTCAACCCCCGCAAGCAAAACTAGGTGAGTAACTAGGTGAGTACACACACACACACACACACACACACACACACACACACACACACACACACACACACACACACACACACACACACAAACGCACACTCATAGCTCCTAAAAATCCCAACATACAGACCCTTGTATGAACTACACAGTTACGGGGACGGCATGATCCACGCCACACAGACGCAGACTCGTAAGTACTGAAACGTTTCAAAGCAACATTCGAGTGTAAATACAGTGAATTTTAAAGTGTAAGTGCAGTAGATGTTAGAGTATAATTTGGAAGATTTACACAAGTAATTATTGTAAATACACATGCGTCCGTACGTCTGTGTGTTGTCCAAGGATGCACGTACGTATTCGATAACCTGTGCCTGTTTAATAACGTACGTACGTAGATGTGTATGGTGGAGCACACAGGTCTAGATAGCTTTGGTTACTTGATAAAAACAGTGTTGTCTGCTTGTGGTTGGTCTGTGTGTTTCCATTTATCCATGTCCAAATATATATGTGGATGTGTTTCTGTAATATGTGTGTGTGAACTTATATTTGTTGTCGTGTGTCTGTATTGATCATATATATAAACCATTACGTTGGTTCACACTGGAGAAGAGAGTAAAAAAATTAAAATGGACACTAAAAGTAGGAACGGTATATTTCATGTAAAGATTAGTATACTTTAATGAATGTAGATAGACATTCTACTGAATTAAAAATTAGATTCATTTATTTCCTTTTGCTTTAAAAAAATTCTCGTAAGGCTCAGAGTTAGAATCTTTTTGATTGTTTCATCATGTAACTGCTATATATATATATGTATATATATATATATATATATATATATATATATATATATATTCTTTGTCAGTATTATATATATCTCATGGCCAAGAACCTTATCTTCACTTGTCTGTTGCTCATATTTGACCAAATTAAACTTTGTGTGATGACGACATTGTCTAACGACGTCAACAGACCAAACGCCACCTTCTTCTATGTCGGTCCTTCAAGCACGATAATGCAGTAGTCATATGTGATTAGTTATCTTGCTTGAGGGACGAGTGAACGTATTCAACTGTCTCATAACCTCAACTAGAATTGTTTTTCGTCAGTCAAGTATTTCCATCAGTTTTGATTTCGTTGAAGAGAAGCAAAAGCCTTTTCTTCTACGTTCCCAGGTTTAGGAGACAACTGATGCATTAATATAATTCTAGAATCAGACTGTTTTGTTTTTAATATCTCTTGAAACAGTGAGTAAATATGGCACCAGAAGGAGGTGGAGAGACAGTCCTATTATCTTCAGTTTTCCGTTTTGCTCTCGCTCACTGGCTGCACCCTTCTCTTTCCTGTACAGATGAGACCGACAATGAGATATCTCACGATGCCCTTGTCCTCCTCATGAACGCACTCCTGCAGGACAATTCCATAGACGAGGACTTAGGTAACTACATCGCTGGGGAGGGAGACGCCTTGCACGTCCAACAGCCCCCCACAAGGGCGACAGTGGCTTCCCTCCCCACTCTTGGTGGTGTCTCCAGCCCTACAACAACAACCACCACCACTACCACCACTACCACCACTACTACCACTATGTTGCCCAACATTACCCAGACCAGAGGCATTTTTGACTTCTTGGCCAATCCCTTCGGTAAGTATCTGGATGCGGACTATGCATAGTGATCTTAGTGTATTAGAGTGGAAATGTATCAAATTATACTTCTTCGTATGCCGTTACCTGTTATTAGTTTAATATCATTCCATCCGTCTCTGTTTCTTGTACAGAATATATATATATATATATATATATATATATATATATATATAATATATATATATATATATATATATATATATATATATATATATATATATATATATATATATATATATATATATATATATATATATATATATATATATGTGTGTGTCGTACCTAGTAGCCAGAACGCACTTCTCAGCCTACTATGCAAGGCCCGATTTGCCTAATAAGCCAAGTTTTCCTGAATTAATATATTTTCTCAAATTTTGTTCTAATGAAATGATAAAGCTACCCATGTCATTATGCATGAGGTCAATTTTTTTTTATTCGAGTTAAAATTAACGTAGATATATGACAGAACCTAACCAACCCTACCTAACCTAACCTAACCTATCTTTATAGGTTAGGTTAGGTTATGTAGCCGAAAAAGTTAGGTTAGGTTAGGTAGGTTAGGTAGTCGAAAAACAATTAATTCATGAAAACTTGGCTTATTAGGCAAATTGGGCCTTGCATAGTAGGCTGAGAAGTGCGTTCTGGCTACTAGGTACAACATATATATATATATATATATATATATATATATATATATATATATATATATATATATATATATATATATATATATATATATATATATATATATTTGATTCACCTGGGCACTAGGAGCCTCGAACACCCGACATACAAGTCTTCTTCCTTTTCTTTAATCTTCTCAAGTGTCACCCATGTGCATCTCTGTTACATTATATAATACCTGCTAGACACATCTTGCTCTCCTCTGTATCTTAGCGGTTAATTTCTAAGTTCTCTCTCTCCAGATACGTCACAGTTTTCTTTCCTGAATAATGTGTACGGTTCTCTAAAGAGAATAAACGTCACTAACAAAGGACTGAGATTCAGGTCCCTTAGTTTGGTTTCTTTCGTGATTTTAGAAAAAAACCTTTGCAGTTTTTAATTTTGGGGGGGGAGGTATTCGGTTGTCTGTTACTGCAATATAAACTGAAGCTTTTTCTGGTAAAGGTGTTGGGGTACCTATCTTGCGGATGTTATACATAAGCACTGTTCGGTCCCTGATAGACTACGCAGCACCCGTATTGTCTTACACAGGCCAAGGCAGAATTAAAAAAATAGAGCTGATACAGAACGAGGCTATGAGGATTATTCTTGGATGTCAAAGAAATGCAATGATTGAAATAATGAGAATGGAATTAAATTTACAGAGTGTGTGTGATAGAGTCCGTGACATTAACACTAGAGTATCTATTCGTTTCATGCGGAGAAAAGGAGGGGATAAGCTGTTTGAGAGCGTTCAGACCTGCTTGAGTGACGTACACACTTCCAGGAAACTGAGAGACGCTACACGAGACGATTAGCTCACGACCTCAGGGAATACGATGTACTTGACTACTGTAAACCCTCTCGACAGTGTAATATGTCTGCTCCCTGGAAAGTACAGAAAATAGACGTCGAAATTGTACCCCTCAAGGTGAAAAAGATTCATAATGAACCGGGACAATTACGGTGTTTGTATGGAAGCATGATATCTCGGTTACCAAGAGGCAACAGTTTACATGTATATTGTGACGGGTCGGTGGCGGAGGATGGCAGGGCAGGGTGTGGTGTCCTAATAAGGGAATATACTGAGTTTGGGACTGTGGACAGGATAATTGAACTCCGGCTTAGTAATTATATATCATCCACACAAGCTGAACTGCATGCCATTCTGGCGTGTTTGGAGGAAGTACGTCATGACGACAAAAATGTTTTTGTATTTGTCGATAGCCGAGGAGCACTGGAGTCCTTAAACAGTCGAAACCCAGTCTTCATGTCCATAGTTGAGGATTGAAAGAGAAGAATAACTGAGATACAGCTGAAAGGTCATAGTGTGAAATTCATGTGGATTCCATCTTATGTTGGAATAGTGCTCAACGAGGTGGCGGATGACTTGGCCAAACGTGCCACATCAAAACCACAAGTTGACATTGAATGTGAATTCACAATGAGACAAATAAGAAGCAAAATCAGAAATATTCAGGCACAGGCAGGAGTGGAGAGGAGAGAGATAATGTATGAGAGAAGTCAAACCATGCAACACTACATGTATGTGAGTCAAAACACCCATTTCACTTATGGTAAAAAGAGAAATGCTTGGAGTGACTCTGTGTACATGCGGCTCAGGCTTGGGTACAAATATTACTGGGAATATGGGATAGGTTATCTTGAGATGATTTCGGGGCTTTTTAGTGTCCCCGCGGCCCGGTCCTCGACCAGGCCTCCACCCCCAGGAAGCAGCCCGTGACAACTGACTAACACCCAGGTACCTATTTTACTGCTAGGTAACAGGGGCATAGGGTGAAAGAAACTCTGCCCATTGTTTCTCGCCGGCGCCTGGGATCGAACCCAGGACCACAGGATCACAAGTACTGCGTGCTGTCCGCTCGGCCGACCGGCTCCCTTGGTGTTCATGATAATGACACGAGGTGTAAACTATGTGGTATGTTAAGGTCTCACACCCTGGCCCATTATGTTCTTGATTGTCCGTTGATTAATGTATATAGAAACACTGAGATAAGGACTGTTCCTGAACAAATAGCCTGGATGTGTCACAACGGAAAGGTTGATGATATTCTTGAGAGATATAAGAATTTTGCACCAAGACTGTAATATTTTGTTGAATTATCTGCATGTCTCTTGCAAATTGTCTATACAGTATACCTAGGTCATAAAAGTATTTGTGTGTACGTCTGATACCATACTACTTGTGAAGGAGGAAATGTATATGTTTATCTCTCAGAATGTTTGGTAATATGTTTATTGTTTGTGATGTGTGTCTATGTATGTACTAACACGTTGTACTGAACGGGGTGAGAATAGCTTGAGCTACCTCATCCCTTTGTGTGTATTTTACCTCAATAAACTTATTTCAATTTCAATTTCAATTTCAACTGAAGCTTTTGGGTTACATTGCGACCCTGCTGCCTCGTTTAGTAGCCATATCGTTATCTGGTCTAGGGTTCCTACTTTTGGATATTATGACATCATGTATTTCGTTACCTATTCATCCCCTGTTGTGTTTGTAGATGTTTGACAGCCTACATGCATTTGACGACCATCGTATTTAGTGAACTTGACGGTGAAAGGAGCCCTTTAGCTTGAAAGAGGTCGCAATTTATATGAAAATGTATTTTAGCATTTTACAATTAAGCACAGTTCTTGCTTCAACCGCAACAGCAAGTATATTGTATCAAATGTATATTAAACTGGGAGAAGTTCTTCCTGTTGTCAGTTCTTCATGATGACCTAACAGGCTTGATGTAGAATTTGCGTAGCATCAGATATTCTGAAGAAATATTCGGGATTTAACTTCATCATTCACTGTTTCATTGAGTTCTGCCATATCTGGATTTGACTGTTGGTGGTTTAGTCTTCTTGAGGACAACCATCATCGTGTCCACGCTGACTGAACTTTGGAATTGCTCTGCGTTAAGCATTTTACTAGTGTTACAATGACTTTCTTATGGGTGGGTCTTCACAAGCTGGTTTGATTCTGCAAGTCAAATTTATTGAACAGAAAGATACTTTTGCGGGTTTCAAAGGAGACTGCGCTCGCTTGCACCGCGGGAGGATTATTTAGGCCACCTCAGTAGTCTCCTGGGAAGCTTGCAAGCATTATTTAGACCAGAAAATATCCCCCAAGACTAAAATAAACCCTTAGTGTATATACACCGATAAATACGGTTAACCTCTCGCTGTATATATCCCTAGACTTTAATCCTATTCCTGGAAGATTATGCAGTATCAAAAGACACTGGTTATGTGTATACCTTGACTCGTGGGTGTACCTTACCTGGTTGATACCTAGTTGATACCTGGTTGATACCTGGTTGATGCCTGGTTGATACCTGGTTGATGCCTGGTTGATGGGGTTCTGGGAGTTCTTCTACTCCCCAAGCCCGGCCTGAGGCCAGGCTTGACTTGTGAGAGTTTGGTCCACCAGACTGTTGCTTGGAGAGGCCTGCAGGCCCACATACCCACCACAGCCCGGTTGGTTTGGCACTCTTTGAAGGAAACAATTTAGTTTCCTCTTGAAGATGTCCACGGTTGTTCCTGTAATATTTCTGATGCTCGCTGGTAGGACGTTGAACAACCGTGGACCTCTGATGTTCATACATCAGTGGTTCATATACGTCGCCAATTACTTATGATGTTACGACTCCAGAGCACAGAGTTAATGAGCTCAGGGGATATTATCTGATGTATAAAGCAAGAAATAATTTCAAACTTTCTGATCTGCGCTGTAGATAAAAGGGTTTTCTATACAGTAATTTCATATAGAATAGTCTACGCACAAGAGCCGTGTCGCCCGTAATAGAAAACGTGAAAACAAACAGTAAGAGAAAATGATATAGAATGAGTTTTATAGGGATAACCTTATTATTTATTTTACATTCCATTGGCAGAAGTAAATAAATAAAATAGTGTATAACGTGTCGAGAAAAAAAGCTCTTAATCACATTGCCGAACTTCGCCTAACCGTGGTAGACAGTCTTCATATGTGGTCACCCATCCAGTTACTGGCTATAATTGATATAACCTAACGGAGTGACGGTCACATGAAATGCAACGAATAATTACCATGTCGTTATGTCACTTAGATTAAACATTTCTTTCTTTCCAGTATTTAGATAGGTGAACACATAAACAAATCAGCCTTAGTAATGGGGACTAAGCCACTAGTAAAACCACTAGTACGCTGCGTGTACTAGTGGCTTTACAAGATTGTAATTACCATATTATGTATCCTCACATTCCCAATGTACCTTCTTGTATATGCATAAATAAATAAATAAATAAATAAACAAATAAATACAGTGTTCCCTGATTGTGCC